GACCCACACCCACACCCACACCCACACCCACACCCACACCCACACCCACACCCACACCCACACCCACACCCCACACCCCTCCTTGAATATCGAAGCAACAGAGGTCAAACCAAACAAATGTCTGGATGGGGTATTAATCCACCAAGAATAATGCAAAATTGGCTTGATGTCCATTATAGTAAGTAAATATTCCTCCTTTTAAACTTTAATTTCGCGATGGAGTCAAATTCAAAAAAGTGAAAAAGAGACTTCAGTTCACGTTTTCATTGCATGGATTATTACTTTTTAAAACAAAGTGTAGCCTTTCAGAAGATTCGTTATTTCACTCATCCTATGTTTTATCGACATTGTAATTAGTGATGCATGAATCGAATGCAATAATTAAAATAGTGTGGATCTGAATATTTACATGACTTAAACTGAGAGAAAGTCAATCTTAGGATAGCATGATGATGGAAATGATAAAACAATGAAATCCGTGCCGTAGAATGCGTTTTTTTGAACTGAATTTCATTGAAATTCTAGAATCTTTTATGGTTCTGGAAATATTAGCATTAATAAGATGCTCATTAGACTAATTATCAACAAAGCTAGATGTGTTACAAAAAGTTGACAGTAAGGAAGTCAAGTTAACATTTGGTTAAGAAAAATGCTAATACTAAAGTATTAGAGTTAATTTATTAAGCTGAATGCTTTGACATTATTGTATTAGTATTAATGAATACTTAGGTGTTCATATTAGTATAGTATTATATTTAATTCTAATATTTATGTCATCAAAACGAAACAGAAGTGTTAAATTTTTTGAAATATTACTCATATGTGACTCGCCGATAAGTAATAATTTCCTGAAACAGATTCAAATTGTTCGGTTTCGATTAGCGTGGTATCAGCGTTAAATATAGTGCGAACTTAGTACAAACATCTAAGCATTAATTAATACTAATGCGTTAATATCAAAGAATTAGGCTCAATAAATTTACTCTAATACAAAGCATTAAATTAAGTATTACTTAAGAATAATACTAGTTTTAATCTGACACTCCTAATCCACAACTTAATATACGATTACAAATATATTCCATTAAAATCATGTTTCAAATATAGGTTTATCTGCTGTGGATGAAAACATCAACTTGACTTACATAACTGATGACATTCGATTATGCACAATGCAACGTGCGATACCAGGACAGCTAATTGGAGTTTATTTCCGTTACTTTTCACCAGAAAGATTCCATTATATAAAATTAGCTGAAGATTTACCATCGAGTTTAGCCCGCCGAGCAGGACTAAAATCGTATGATCGAGTAATTTTCGTTAACGGTGTCAACATTGAGAATGACAATGGGACTCAGTTTGACCGTCGATTTAAAAGTCAACGACATCTTCCAGTTCAAATGCTAGTTTGTTGTCCAGCTACATATGATCATTATAAAGCTAATAACATGAGTTTTTCATGTGATCTTCCAACTGTCCAACGTTTAAAACCAGTATTTGCAACATCAAGTAACAAATAAATATCCATATAACTATTATTCATACACTAATTATTATTTCAATTAATAATTTAATTTTAGCATCCGATTCCAATACTGATGTGCCAGCCGTTACCTTTGATAATGAAACTTTTTACGCTGTTCAATGGGAAAATAGTAGCATTATTTCTACAGTTCCTCAGTTGGCAGTTTTGAAATCACCTGAATTCATAAATATAAATGATATCTGTGTTATTGAAATAGAGAACGAACAATATCGAAAAGGAAAAATTATTTTTAGAGGTTTGTTGTTATTATTCAAGAATATTATTTCAAAACAGTTTCATATATGTTGTAGGTTCACGAAATGAGTGTGACAAGTTAAATGTATCTCCGATTTCATTAGCAATCGATCACGTTTCCAAGACGATAGATAATTTATCCCTTAGAGAAAAACCTAGTATTTCGGGTCTCACTGATGAGCAGTCTTTATGTTCATTAGAAGGAACTATTACATCGTCATCACAGGTATTAGTTCCTTTACACTCATCTTATTTATTTCTATTGATTGAAACCATATAATTACAAAAATAAGAATGAAAACTGATTGTATTTTTTGTTTAATCCGCTTCTAAACAAGCAAATATTCTAAGAAGACATTTATGCTTTTAGAAACGACAAGCTGATACAAAACCAAAAGAAATAACTCTTCCCAATACAAATAGTGGTACACAAATAAATTCGATCATTGAAAATCATCAAGACACTGAGAATTGTAAGTTACCACCATAGATATTATTATTAGAATTTCACTTGAGAATTAAAATAAAAAGTGATGATTTTATCTTGATTCAGTAAGTTTGTCAATATAAAATTGTTAATCCCTCCCTTCCACCATAAAAACTCAATTTTCGTAAAATTTTTCGATTTTTTGATTTATAGCGTATTTGATAACGCAAAGTCTCCGCTATCGAACACACTATAGATTATGGGTTTTATGATCAGTTTTCATGACGTAAATTTAATTTTCCGGAAACCTCCTATTCCAGAGAATAACATTTTTTTCAGAAAATGTTAATTATTCGCGGTGATGGTCATAGTCAGCACGTATTGCTAAGTATAATAGCTTAACACATGCTGTTACTCGCGAATACATTTATATAAACGACAGAATCGGATAAAAATATTGACCATTCATGTGCAACTCAATTTTTCGAAGAATAAGTACTACGGAGTTTTCAATACTTCTTCCCCCATCTAAAACGTATATATTTTTAACGATAATAAAAAGTAGAAACAAAATGTCTTATTTGTAATCACTTCGATATACGTGTTGATTAAAATTCGTTGTCAAATATATTCTCAACAGTACGTCATCGTATTTTTTCGTGAAAGAAGATCATATATTGTTACTCGTAAAAAAAAGGTTTCAATGAGTAGATGAGGTATTTGTTACAAAAAGAAAGGTAAAATATAAATTTTCAAACATATTTGTTCTGAGAATCTACGCTCATACTCGCTCATTTCTAATGATGAAAATTCTGTAGACGTAGCCCAAGATTTCATAGCCTTGGAATTAACAGAAAATTATAGAAAATAGTGATTATGATTTTCGAAGGGATGATTAACTTTTTATAGCATATTATTATTTGTCCAAGATTTTGTAAACACTAGTTTTAAAAAAATTATCAGAATATTTTATGTGAGAGAAATTCGACATGTTTTCATCTATTCCAAAATACTAGTATCACATGATATAAAATTACCGATATAAATTCAGATGATGTGTTTCATAGCATAACAAGCAATTCTTCATGCTTCAACTACCCAGATAAAATGACCATATAGAACAAATAAAACTTTTTCCATAAACCTTTAAATGCGTATACTGAGTTCGTTCGAACCAATGATCTATGGAAAATCACTAAAATATTTATTTTTGTCCCATATTATCATAGAAAAAGTCTTCGATTGCATTCCTCAAACTTCTTTTACGTTTTTCTCATATTCTTTTGTTTTGTTTTAACTCTTTCGTATTTCCCAAATCCTTGCGCCATTTTAAACGCTAGAGAGTTTGGGTTGGTTTCAAAATGAAGGTAATGATTAGCTCTAGAACTTAACAGAGCCGAAATTTTAGATTTTATCTTTATTATCTTATGAGATTCAAATGTATCACAATATACACCCTATCATTACCATACTTTATAAGATAAGCTTCAATAAATTAGCATGACAAAATTAAAATTAAAATTCGGGCTCTGTTAAGTTGTAGTGCTATATCTTTACTACATTTTAAAACCAACCCGGACTTTCTAGCATTTGAGATGGTAGCGGGATTTGGGAAATGCGGACCCCTCCATTTTGACCAGTAATCTTGAAGTAAAACTTCATAGACTTAATATGTTGAACTGAAATTTTTACTGTAAGTTACCTAGCATGAGATACACGTTCTCTGAAAATTTCAGCAAGATCGGATGATCAAAAGCAAAAATAAGAATTAAGTGGGGGTGGGGGGGGGGCTTAATTACACGAAACTATCTATCTAACATTAGTTCTCCAGTAGTAATCTAGTTAGAAATGAGTTCTTTTAATAAGATAATTATCACAATTTCTGCATGTCTGATACAAAAACACGAGTAAATTGTGATTCTTTTATTATCTTTTGATCTCAAAAATTTGACTATTGCCCATTTCAAAAAAGGCGGTGAGTAGATATTTCATGAATAATTTTTGCTAAAAGCGAGATAAAGAACTCGGATCTTCACCAATGCAAAATGTAGGCTTTTCTTGGAGGTTTTCTTAAGTTTGTAAAATTAATATTCTGAACAAATTGCGTAAAAGTTGGTTCGGTATTTTACGAGAAAAAGATGTCAAAAATTGATTTTTCACATTAAGTAACAGAAAACTTTTAAGTAATTACTACGATTAAAATCTCGGAATACCTCAAGTGAATGACTGTTAAAAGCATGGATTCTGCTTAATTCGGTGAACTTTCCGTTAGTGATCCGAATGCACTCAAGATAATTGAATGCTGATTTTATATACGTTACGAAATATGTTAACTTTCCGAGATCTTGCTATCAGTAGTGTGAAAGAAAAAATCCGATAGCATTTTCTTACGATACCCAGTTTGATGCGTTTCCATATTTGCTTTCGAAAAGTGAAACCATAGTTGACTACAACAACATTCAAATGAAATGTACTATGGTGACAAATATCATAGATGTGAATATGTTTAAACATGGATTCTTTTTCTATGAATATCAATACAAGTTCATGTTCTTAAAATCATCAATTTCCTTCTGTAATGCTTTTATACGAAGTTTGAATAGATGAAAATCTTTTCAAACATTGAGATCCCATTAAGTCATCGATTCAATATAGTATATGAAAGTGTTAGGTATATGAATGGTATCCCGTCTGAATGTGCATCCATATTCCTATCCAAGACCAGTCGTAGTACCAAAGAACCAGTTGAATCGCAGAACAGTTTATTTCGATATCAAAGTAATTGATTTTTTCTTTGAAATATTGCAGGTCCATGTACTATCCTTGAAGATCTTCCAAATGAATTATTTTACTATCTATTCACTTTGATTGACATTCAAGATTTATATAAAGCTTTTTGGGGACTAAATTCAAGACTGAACAATATTTTTCAATCTTGCCAAAATTTATCATTAATCTTCGACGAAAAAGTTGACCCATTATTGATGGAATTATATGCTCCTTACGTCATTCGCTTAGTAATTCAAACTTCTGCCTATTGCAATTTTAATCAATTCCCTAATTTACGTGTATTGGTATTGTGTGTTGAAAACTCAGAACAACTTTCACAGATTCAACCTAATACGATTCCCAATCTGACACATCTATCGTTCTTGTTTGGATCTCAATTTACTTTACCAGAACAATTAACTTGGCAAGTGTTCTCCAATGAATTTCCATTTCTTGGTTATGCTAATCTTGGTTGTATCAAAGAATCTATCTCTGATATATGGCTTATGTCACCTCGTCTTCGATTTGTGTCCATTCTTTCTTGTAAACCCATGTTTATTCCTGTTATTTTAGCTGCATGCCCTAATCTTGATCATCTTCAATTTCATGTTATTTGTGATAATAATACTGTCACTTCATCATCACCAGTTAATCATCTGCTTCGACAATTGACGCTTTGGAGTGATTCTATTGAACTATCTTTTGATATTATTGATAAAATTCTTATTTATACACCTAACGTCGAACACTTATATCTACAAACAATATATTCAAAGTCATTGATTGATTTAGCTCAAGGTTTGATTAATCGGTTACATGATTTGTCTCGATTTGACTGTTATATTCAAGAAATGTTGGGAAAAGATGAGAGAATTGATAATTTAACTAAATTACATCAAGTTCATCCGTGTTTTAATCGAATTCAATCAATAGAAGAAGACGACAAATTTCGAATTTTGGCCACTAAATAAATTGTTTAAACATTATGTGTGTATATTTTATTTTCATAAGATAATAGTTGATTATTGACAAAAATCATGCCATTGATTTTTTTCTAAGAAATGATTCTCTTTTAACCAATCATTTATTTTTTTATTTATAAAACTCATAAATCCAGAAAAAAAATAATTTTATCTCGTTTTGCTTTATGGTAAATACCTTATGTATATCTGGTAATATATAACGCACTCAGTATATTTAGGCGTCTTCGATATTTTGAGTACTTTTACTGAATGAAAGTAATAAAAGAACTAAAGGGAGTAAGATGACCAATCACACCAAAGGAATAACTCGTTTTCTTTCTTGTGAACTTATCTCTTTAGATACTTTCAAAAAACATTTCATACCTTACCATACTATTTGTACTACAAAGCACAAAATCGACTCTGAAAAGACTCTGCCACCCATTGAAAGTAAAGGCCGAAACAAGCCTTTTCTATCGAACATGACCACAATTATTAGACAAGTGATTTATTTGAATTATTTGTCATTTCAAATTTTTTGAAATTAGATAAACTTTCAGATTGTCTGTCTTAAAGTCTTATTAATAAGCGAAATACCAAGAGAGAAAAACTTTGCCTCAATAGAACGCAAACACTGAATATCTCCGTTTGCTCTGAGTGATTTCGAGTGGTTCGAAACACCCAAGTTAATGTTTTCTATCCTTGCGAAATACTCATATTCAGTCTTTTTTCTCGATATATGTAAAAGGTCATAGAATTGATCAAGAAAATAATATTGGCCAGCTTCAAATTGTCCTTTCATTGGCTTCTCAATCGTAGTTATGGACCAACTTATTTTTCATCTCTTTAACATGGATGGAAACCATTATGAAAGTTCTTGACGAATTTCAAGATGGAATTTTAAGTGCTCACTCTTAACAGTTTCATGGGACCTTTTCAACAGTAACTAAAAAAGTTGTTACGTTTCTGCCATAATCATAACACCAAATTTTACTATTTAGGGTGTGGGTGTGGGTGGGTGTGGGTGTGGGTGTGGGTGTGGGTGTGGGTGTGGGTGTGG